TGTGGTTAGCGAGCTACGCTAACGGATAGAGTTTTTTCAACAACAAGCTGGAGGAGAGTCCTCTCCTGTCAGACTGAGAGGCTCAGTGAACTAAAGGACTCTGAGTGTTTACATAGTTAACTTTAATCTAAGTTATCTCAGTGGTTCTCAAACGTTTTGATGTAAACAATTATTTCCGAGGCACACGTTTATATGATTATAGTTANAAAAAAAATAAGAGAATAAATGAAAAACAGGTATGAAATACTATGACAGTAAAAAAAGAATAAAGTTTAAAAGGGTGATTTTTAAAATATCCATAAAGTAAAACTGTTTACAGTTCTATTTCATATGGGTGTAGAGAGAGGTATCCATCTTCATTTTGCTCTCAAAGTGCACCAGATTGATGCTTTTAACTTAAATATTTAGAAATACATCTTCCCGGGGGAGCATGCCCCCGGACCCCCCTATGTTAGGTCCACTCCCCACTTATACAAATAGCACTTGACCCCTGCTTACACCTATATTCCGTGAGCTCGACTTTTTTTTTTCTCCAAAGGGGGGGCCTGAAAGAAAACGTTTGAGAACCACTGGTCTAAAGAGACTATTCAGTACATGCAGTATGCTGCATTGTGAGGGTGCAGTTAAGGTTCTAATGGTTTTCCATCCTGATGTCAGGCAGCATCATTAGCAAAGTCAAAGGCAGTCCACATGAAGCCAGACAGTGCCAAACACAGCACCTTAAAACATTCAGTGTAAAGTAGCACTTAGGGAAACATAAACTTGTGTTTATGTGACTCTCACTTAGCAAACAGCGATTTTGTGAAACCACGTTAAGTTGTTTCTAAAAGCAGACCATGGTATTATTTCACATTCTGGAAGGTCCCGTACAGAAGTATTTATTTCATCATATTGAAGTTCCATTTAAATGTCTTTCTCATTTTGCAAAGAGTTAACCAAAGGGAATTAATCAAAGTTACAAGTTTTCAACCTGGAATTGTAAGTGTAATCGTGAAAAATAAGTGGAACATTCTTTTATTTACATTTAAAAAGCTACATTTAGTACCAATAAAACTAACATTCCTCTCTCAATTCACTTTATTTTGAAGCTACAGCCTTACTTGGTTTAATTTCACCATTGGGTGGTGTCTTATGTCGGCAAACTTAAGGTTAATTTTGCAGAGTAATAGACACTACTTCATAACCGTTATGACTGTTTTACACTTGCAGAGCTGTAACCGTAAAGTATTTATTTATATCATAATTTCACTTGCACTCCCAGTGTCTGCTTTGTAGCAGAAGTTACAAAGTCATCCTTTAGAGACACAGTATAAAGATTATCTGACCCCTTAATGTATGAAATTCCATTTCTACTACATTTTTTCAAGCCTACTGCATATATCCCACTAAAATGGTTACACCCGATTTTACCTTTTTTAAGGGTGACTCCATTTAGTTTGGTGAGCTTTAACCAACCCTAAAGCTTTGAATCCATGTTTATTTATCTGGAACATGTTTCTTGTCAATCTCAAGATGAACAATTCCCCAAAAAGCAGCACCATGATGGAAATACATTTGTTCCACTAGAATATATATGTATATTCTTGAGAATATCAATCAGTGGCTTTGAGCCCCATTTCTTAGTAGAAAATAAAGCACCACAACCCATGCATTCTCATCATGCACTCGTATTTATTTCAGCATCCTAATCCATTTCCCAACTGACACAAATGTGCGTTTCAGCTCTGACAATGAGAGAGAGTACTTGCCCTGTGTACTTTGCATGGTTGGCAATAGTTATTATTGGTAGTCACTGACTAGAAAAGCAAACCATTTAACCGGAGCCAAGGTTAGAAACCATTGAAATAACCCAACATCCACATAGACCCATTTTACGGCTTCCTGAGTGGTGATTTTACATGATTAGGCGTGTTTGCGTAATCTTGTTTTTCCTTGGTACTTTCCATTTATGAGCCCCTCTAGATCCACCCTTGAGTCACACACATTCCCTAGGACACAAACCATTAAGTGATCGCTCGGCTTAGTTTTTCATCTGCCATCTGTCCCCTCAATACATTTTGTCTCAAGGTGACTTACAATGTGCAAAACCTTTTTCGGTCTTCAGAGAGTGGACACAATCATCTCAGTAGATGAGTAGCTGCACTGAAAGGCTGCTGTTGTAAGCACAAAGAAGAGAGATTTAATTTGAAATGTGATGGTCTGCCTAAAATATTTTTTAGCCTACACCGTCCACAAAGTTTGGAGAATTTACATTTCTATATGTATTAAAAAAACGTTTCCAAACACAGGCATATTCTCTGGTTCATTATCAGGCAGAGTTATCCATCATCACTTGAGCTTTGTAGATTCCAGACTCAGTGTTTTCTTTCCATTTCCTCAGTCCAGACTATTGGAGGATATGTCAAAAGTGACACTTATATCAGCTCTATATAGTTCATGATTAGGGGAAGGGGTTTGTTCCTGAAAAAAACCTCTGTAAAACTTTTGCCAAGAGATATTCCATGCTTAATATTACATCGAAAAACGGCTAATTCAACTTGACGGACCTGTGTAAATGGCAGAGAGCTGGAAGTTGTTGTTGAAGATTTGAGATATCCATCGTTGTTCAACTGGTTCATTATTTGTTAGACTCGGATTGATTCAAATGTTTATCATGTCATATTTTCTTTATTAAAGCAGAATAATTGTTATTTTTCTGCAAATCAATCTCATAGAATACTTTGCAGTATTAACACTATACTGCTGTTTTCAGATATGTATAATACAGATATGTTAATATTTCAGTCATGATCACCAAAACAAAAATATACTTTACTTTGCACAGTTAACCTATTAATTCCGTGATCTGATTATTATATCAAATTTTTTGATTGATGGAACGCCAATATACAATAGTCAAGATTGAGCCAAAATGGAAATTCCCCCAAAACAGGAGATCTCGCCAACCTTGCTGACTTTTCTAAATTCAACCAGAATGATTGCAAGCATTAAAAGGCAAGCTAAACTTAGTTGAAACTTGCACAGTCACCAGCTGCTCTTTGTCTTGTAACAGACAACAAAATATTTTCCTCCACAGACTCTTTCCTCTGTGTGTTAGGAATTTAATTCGGCCCACGGCTACAGTTCAGGATAGGAACTGTTGCTAAGGACACCAACACATATGATGTTTTGCTGTTTGACTCTGATTTGTCTTGGCTGATGCGTTCCTGAAACATAGCTATTAACATACAGCCTTTGTTGATAAGCCAAAGCAAAATTAAGAATCTCCCTACTGGGCGATTATAGAATCACTTACGTGTGTGTTCAGACAGTGAGCTTACGTTGTGGATAATAACAATCTAATGATGTCAGTTTTATTTATAAAAACAAAATTATCAGCCAGGCTCTCCTATATCTGCTAAGTCAAATTGCGCTACATTTTCTACGAACAAGACTCTGTGGAATTACCTTAACTTAGTAAACTTCTAAAATAACAATGTACTGCTGAACAGTGCACAGATGATCCATATGGTTCATTCATGAAGAATAGTATCAAACACAAACTTTCATCTTGTCATCTCTGTCTCTTTGCCTGCAGGCTAATCACCTACATTAACTCATTCTATACTTGAGTTGCTTTCAAATATTGAAATGATGGAAAAAAAATTTGATGTGCATTTTTGCACATGTAAAATATAAACACTTTCCAGTGTGTGTCCAACGGAAATGTCGATTTATTTACGGTAGTTTTTTTTGCTTATTGAATAATTGTGTATCTTGATTATGGAATCTTGTGTGGCATCCTTTAAGCTTTTAAGATTACTGTGAATATGAAACTGTAAGAGACAAGAAGAGAAAGGGTAGGGAACAATGCCTCGCATCCGTGTTCCTGCCTGATGTCAGTTATTAAACATCTTTTTACCATTGTACCCTAATGTGATAGACAAACTTGAAAATGGGTTTAATTGTTTGCCAGATTTACTTCTGGGTTACAATTGACCTAAAGGCTCCATGTTATTGTTTTTGTAAATAATACATTTCCTTCAAGTATACTTTACATCTTTCTGTACTTTTCTTTGGTGCAGATTGAGAACTACATCAAAGAGAGCATGAAGGTGGAGATGGCTCAATTGCAGCAGAGCGCCGTCCACAATCACACTGCAGCCATGTTGGAAATGGGAACCAACCTTCTTTCTCAGACGGCTGAACAGACGCGCAAGCTGACTGACGTTGAGACGCAGGTAACACTTTTAAAACAGACACTTGCACTAAGGTTCACAAACATGTTGATGTGCCCCCATTCAATTCGCTCTTTATGTCTTTCTCTTGCACACACACGCTGAGAGGATCCATCCTATGCGTCATTAACTCAACAATTCTACAATTCACTGCCCCCAAAAGGTTACAGAGCACTGGCCAAACACAATACTGATGCTATGTAAATGCCAAACCCTCCTGTGACTTATTTGGCTCAGTTTCCTTTTAGTGTTTATATGGAGGATTTTGAGTGGGAGGTGATGGAAAGTTGTGAAGTTAGCGTTGGGTAATTTTTGCTAAAGCACTACAAAGATAACTGTTTGCAAAGTTAAAAAATATAATCATAGCAGAGATGAAAATCTCCTAAGTATAACCATGTGTTTGGGGAACACTTGACAAATGAAAACAAAGTTGATGGTTTCTATGTGCAGTGTGTTTTTCCAGTGTCTAAAAAGCCTTAAATACAGCCCTGCCTTTTTTGTTTCTCTTTAGGGTTTGGTGCACATGAGCAAGATATTAGCTAGTATTATTGCACATACTATGTATAGAGGTATTCTATAATCTACTGTATATATCTGTGCATTTCTTATCATGGAAGGTTCTGAATCAGACATCGAGGCTCGAGATCCAGCTGCTGGAAAATTCTCTTTCCACTAACAAGTTGGAGAAAGAGTTAATGCTCCAGACCAATGAGATCAGCAAGCTGCATGACAAGAACAGGTAAACAGACAGCGCTTTGAGCAAACACACACACACACACACACACACACACACACACACACACACACACACACTAAATACCATCAATTCTGCAGGAGGAAGGAAATAAAGATGATACATCGACACACAGAGAGCCGTTCTCTACTGCTGTTCTCGGCTGGATTGTGTAAACAAAATCAAAAGCTTGCTACCAGCTTTCATTGACTACCACATAGTTTGACCATTTTGCAAAACAATATTCAGTTGTATATACAATATCATAATGGGGAGTTTGCATTTTCTATTTCAGTAGATCAGTTCAAAATGCATGATGCTTTCCATGTTAGGCCCATTGTGCATTTCTTGCAAAATCATGCAATTTAAAATGTTGCTTTTGGATTTAATGTCTCCAAATCTTGATTGGTGCTGTGGGATTGTCTAAGATTATATAATGTTTAAAAGGGTTTGGTCCCCATCTCTCATTGCAGTATCCATAGAGACTTAATGCAATCACTTTGGAAGAAAATGAAAACATAGCCTCTGGTGATACTGTTTTTTTAGTTATTCCTAAGCCATATTGAGATAGATTCCTGAGGGGACATTTTCGTAAGCTTCAGCAATTATGACATTATTTCATTTTGTGCGTGTAGTCTGTCATTTTTCCTTTACCAAATCTATAATAGTGGAGAACATATGATCAGTTGATGAATTTGATGTCAGCTTGTACCATCTTTCAGGAATTGGATTGTACGCTGGTGATTCTCAGATACTGAACAGCTTGTTCATTTACCTCAAGTGAATCCCAAAGTATATGATGAACGTTATACGTTTATATTCTGTGGGGCACACATAGCAACCAATTCTCAGACAACATCACTTTCTGAAGTCTTAAGCTAAATTCATGTTTTCTTTTCCCATATTGCTCATTGGGAAATGGTTTTCAAGTAAAGGGTGTATATCACCACCTATTGATATTTATTACTCAGTGTTCATCACAAAATAACAGCAGGAAGCAACAAGGGCGAAAGAGGGATTCAGCTGATACATAATCAGTGAGTAACTGGTAATATAACAAGTTGCAAAGCAATCTTAAATCCGCATGAAGAAATCTCATTCCAGCGGATCTGGATGCCCTGAAGGACCATAATAATTGGCAATTTAGCTATCTTATAACCAAACTTTTCATCCTGTTTTCCTTTCCGCAGCCTCTTGGAGCAGAAGATGTTCGAGATGGAGACGCGACACAGGGAAGAGCTGGATACCCTGAAGCAGGAGAAGGGGAGTCTCCAGGTCCTGGTGGGGAGGCAGAGCGGGGTTATCGGGGAACTAGAAGCCCAACTAAACCGGGCCTCAGGAAATGGCACGGCCCTGCAGAGACAGCAGCAGGAGATGATGGATACCGTCCATAACCTGCTCAACCTCTGCAACAAAGATGGAGGTAAGCCAACTGGAATCAAAGGGTCACATGCAAAGAAGTTTGGAATCTTTGTTATAAATATGCTCTTACAAAATGGCCATCGCATTACGAGCATTGGCAGTTTTATTGTGCTAAAACCAAAAAGCCAGGTAGCTGAGCATGGCCACTGATCCCAGCATCTCAAAGAGGGACCAATCAGTGAAATACTGGAATGGATAGATGCTGACAATAAGCCTTGGTACTGTGTTTTGAAGTTAAACTGAGTGAAAAGAAGAAATCTTTGACAACCTGGACATGAGGAGAGGACCTACCGACTGTTTTGCCTTCTTCTCACCTAAAATATATTGTATGTTTGATTACATTGAATACTTTATAGAGACATTCATGGTCCCCAGAGGATAAAGCTTACTGACTTTGGTGATCTTCTCACTTTTTCTCTTTGCGCCCCCATGGCATTTGTGGTTTAGAGTTTGCTGTCCATTACATGAATCAGCGTGAAATTTAGTCACCACAGGCAAGGAGTAGTTCGGTTTTTCACTACTTTTTGGAGGACACATTCCACATATGTGACCCGCTCTATCGAAATCAGTCGGAAGTCGCAACGGCTCATTTCAAAATAAACGTGGATTTGAGTAAAAAACTAGTTTTTCTGGGTTTTGGTGTTTTGTTTGATTTCAAATAAACAAAGTCTTGGCTTTCAGAATCTGAAACTTTTATTTCCAAAATCAAACGATAAATAGATGTTTGAAGCTTGTAATGGGAAGATGACAGCTCTCACGCTGCTCTTCCGCAGCGCTGCCCCCCCTCCCTCCGGCTGACATTATGAATGAAAAGCGTATAGTAATCATAAATAACACGGCAGAGTCCGTGACAGTTTATTTTCATCTGATTTCAAATAAACAAAGTCTTGGCTTTCAGAATATTGAACTTGTTTCGCCAAATTCAGATCATAAATACAACTTTGAAGCTTGTAAAGGCATAATTACAAGCGGAGAACGGAGTAAGGCGTGAACGTCACACGCGGCTCAGCCCACAGCGGCTGTCTTCCTTGTGAGCCGGTTTTCCGGGACACGCAACAGCAATACCACGCCCACCAAGCACCGCAAATACAGCAACCCCACCACACCACCCTATATCGCAACATCTTCTCGCAGCCCGTACACGAAACATATTTCTCTCGCCGGGGTAACACTCATAAACTCTCCTCTCTTCGCCCGCCCCTCCGCTCGCTCGGACCTTTCAGCAGAAGAACAAAAGGCACCATTCCGCACGCTCTCCGTGCCACTCGGCAACCACTTCCGCGCGCGCCGCGCGCCACGCTGCTCGAGCACCTCGGCGGTTCTGCTCACTCGCCTCACCTTTTTGAGCGGCAGGCGGTTGAAGCTTTCCCCGTTATGCCGCTGCGCGATTCAGAGTCAGACAGAGCCCTGACACTGACCCCCCCCGCCCCTCTACGACCACGGATGCCTGAACGAGGATAGGACACCACAGAGGAGCAACACGTGCTGACCGACCCCGGATGGCTGAGAGACAGCTTCATTCCTACGGCAGTTGATAGTCGACGCGGGCAGCCGCGCTCAGAGATTGCGAGCAGGGCCCCAGTGACTCGAACAGGTGTGCTTGTACATTACTGATGGACGTTCCGCGTTACAGGCCCCTCTACACCCCGCGCCCTGGGAAGGCATGTCAACGAGACGAGACCAAATGAATGCACATGACAACCGCGGACCTGCTAACGGTTATACACGTTAGTACATTACGTTTACAAATACCTTCCTGACTCGTGAGTAATCGATGTGCGTGTGAACGACTCGGGCTTACGTGTTACAACCATAAGACAAGCAAAGCCTAAACATAATGGCTCGCGCCATACCACCTACAACTCTACCCAAGTTGGCTAAATACGTCATGCGCATTGTGCGTCGCGCTCTTCACTAAATGCTTCCAACCCTACACACAGTTACGCCAACATGGGGCGTCCGCCGGGAGACTATTTTTTTGGCTCTTCACTCTGTCGGGCCCCGGCCTAATTAATCTCAGACTGTGCCCGAGACTCCGGCCGCTACACAATGTCACTTCTCTCATCCGTGAGCCGCGGCAGTTACCTCTGGAGTCACTGGCCAGAACTAGGCGCCTGTCCACCGGTTTTTTTTTCTTCTCTTTCTGTATATTGACCCCACTTTATAATCAGATAGGAATAATGTNTTCTTTCTCTAAATTAACTTTTGTGCCAAATGATTCTAATGTTGTTAGAGGTTAACATGCAATCAGTTCATTTAAGTATTTATTCATAGTGTTTTTCCAAAATTGTATATTGATGATTGTGCACGTGGGTATGGGTGTGCACGTGAGTACGGGCGTGCACGTGAGTACGGGCGTGCACGTGAGTACGGGTGTGCATGTGGTCTGGGTGTGCACATGGCCATGTACATGGGAATAGATGTGTGCGCATAAGCATGTGTGTTTTTGTGCAAACAGCTCTAGATGAATTCGTTTTATGGTATGGTTCATTTGAATAAATACCTAAGAAAGTACTGCAAACTTTGAAGGCCTTTTTCTCAAAATCATGGTTCGATGACATTCATTATGTAAAGTGACGTATTTTGCTTAATATTTGGAGGACAAAGACAATATTGATATCATTAGAAAGCTAAGAATCTCATCTTTCCAACAGGGTATCAAACTCAAAATGTGTTTCAGGGTCAATGTGACTGAAAATGATAGAGCAGTTTTTCACTACTTTTTGGAGCACACATTCCACATATATGCAGAAAAGAGCTACGCTAATACCATTTTTTTTTTTTTTAAACCCGCATGCAAATGTTCATATCGAGCCTTCGCATACAGTTTCTGATGAAGAAATGTGCGTCAATGTGCGTCACATGGACCCAGAAGTACTGAGTTTTGGAAGTATAAGACAAAGTACAAATGGTCTGGTTCTACTTTGAAACCCTGAGGCAAATCAAGAATATCCCCTGTGCACTGGGTTGGTCAAACCGAGCGTAGAAAGGTTTATGTTTATGTTTCAGCAGAGGAGAAGGCTTGTCAGTAATCTGTTGATTGGTTTTAGTCTGATCCAAAGTTTGTCTACCCCCACAAGCAATGACCGAAACACAAGAAAATGCCTATTGACCCTTGCCAGACCACAATGTGAAAAGCTACATTTGTGGATTGGCTGATCAAGGCTATAACTATAAAGCAGCTTTTGTTATTCCCACTAACTTCCTCTGGTCAGCTACAACATCTTTGATTTTACAATCCTCATGAAATCACGATGACAGCAGTTCTATAAACCTTACCCCATACTGAGAGACACGGGGATGCGATGGCTATTAAACCCTGCATCACTGAGAGCAGCATGAAGAAAGAAACACGGTTCTTATTGTAACCTGTTGTACTCCTCTTAAAGAGCGTTGGTGCCTCTCATGAACCAGCATGTAACAGTTGCTCTTCTTTTTTTGTTGTTGCAACAATCACTTTTCATGCTTAACTTCCTGAAGTCTGAGAACACTGCTTCTCTGAAACGTCAAGCATTACTCTGGTTATGAAGTATTAGGGTTATGTTAGTCTCTCTCTTCTGTTAACAGAGACCAGGGATTTCCCTTTTGGCCCTTCTTTTGACCCTACAGGAATTCAACCTCATGTTCGGTCAAATGCAGTGAACTCATTTACCCCTTTTTAAGCCGGTTAAAGGCCGAACCAACTTGATCCTAACATTGGCCTTAACCCCTTTGGTCACAGGAGATTTGACATGAATTCTGTGACGGGGGATCGGTTGCAACTTCATTTCCATTTGTGGACTTCCTTCACAGACGCCTCGAGACCTCACAGTGCTTCTTGAGGTTTCCCGTCAGACAGGAAGCAACAAGGATATGAAGGGATGTAGGAGTCATGATTGGATAACTACTAGACATGATTAACGCATGCTTTGTATTCATCATGCTGCTCCCTTTCATTATTTTAATGTTCCGTGCAGTAGAGGTCACGGGTGGCCTCCACTCACACTCCATGTGTTTAGTCTGGATTTGTGTATGTGGCATTTAATTACCAGAGGTCTTTTGAAACCTTTTTGGCCGTGATCTTCATGTTAAGATTCAAGTGTTTAAATTGTACTGGCCTTGTAATCTGCCAAGTTTCTTTATTTTGCCACCTTTTTATGCTACTTTTATTATCAGTAGGGTCAGTAGGGCAGGGCACCACAGCGCGTCCCACTGTCTGTGATTGGTGGTTACCTTAATGAGAAGCGATAGAAATGGAATGTTGTCACCCATCGCTCTGTGGTTGGTCCTTTCCTCTTCCATGGTGGCGTTGAAGGTTGAGGAGGGCCGGCGGGTCAGAGGTCTCCCCTTTCTTCACCCCAGCCTGAATAAGTCAAACTGAAATAGCTCCCGGGGGACATCCCGTCCAAAGGAGGTGAAGGAGTAGGTAGATCTCACCGATCATGAAACCAACTGCCACTGCTTTTCGACAACTTTTAAAACACGGTAGCAACAGAGCTCTTTCTTTTTCCATTTTCAGGGGAGTGCTTTTTTTTGTTTGAGAAACGGATCGGTGTTTCCATTTGCGGAAACGGTTAGCATTTCATGCCATCGAGTGGCGTCTGCTTGCGTAAGTCTTTGTTTTGAAACCTGAGCCTGAGTATTTCCTTTTTTAAAGCCTGAACTGAAATCGTCTTTGACTTTGCTTGGGGGAAGATGACATATTTAGAAAAGGGAGTTCAATACTAAATGTTCATAAATGTATTTCTTCCCCAGCTGCCATTTGTGGCTTCCCTAAAATCAAAGTTTCCAATCTTTTCTTCAACCGTTGCAGTGCAAACTGTGCCCTTTTAAGATTTGTTGATGTGGCCAGATGCGTCAGTGGAGCTCTTGTTTAGGTTGTAATCATTACCCAAACCTCATTAGGGTGCACTGAGCCACACACTGTGATTAACGATAATTGTCCTCAGCTTTGGAACACTGTACACATTTCTGGCTGCTTAATATGATTTTGTTTTACAGTGTTCTATTATCCCACTAAATGCAAAACATTCATCATTTTTACAGCAGCTTACTCGAAGTCGAAAACAGTGGAATTATCTTGGGTTTCCACTCAAAGCTCAAATGGCCTTTATGTGTTGTAATGCCTAAACACGACAGTATGGTAAACCACTTCATTAGACGTCACTTTACGAACCAAACCTAATTTTTGAATGCTGCAAATGATTATTTTTATGCTTCTCTGACCAGCAGAATGAGCCGACACGTATTGTTGCAAAGACCCTGTAAAGTGTGCAGTTATTGCGAGTCACCTGAGTGACCTTTACAAAACCTTTATTTTCACAGAGGGAATTAGACTGTTTTATCATATGTTGCATTTTCACACGTCTCTGAAAACTATTAAATGGAGCAATTTGCTTTGCCAATTAAATTGTAAAAATCAATTTCCAAATGATCTTATAATTCCTTATAAATGTTTTTGCTAATGCAAAGTAGTTTTACTTGAGTGATTGGTTGCTTCAGCAGGATATGGGAAGAAAAAGGAAGTATGATTTCTATTAATAAACAAATATAGCTTGAAAGTCATGAATTGTGCCTCACTACCCAGCCTTTTTACACAACAACCATAATCATCTTCCCATAGGAAACAAGCACTGCACATCATTGTTGTGAAGTTTACTGTGGGAATGTGCTATTATATAATATTGTTTCGCAGCCTTCATATATGAATACACAGGAGAAATTTGCTGGATTTTGTTTGGAATCACTTAAACTCTCAGCAGCATTCAGAGACTGATTGTAGTCACATGGGAGCAGTGATGTCCATGGCAGTCCATTAGGCTCCATTACTCACTCTCCTTAGTTTGAGTATTTGGGCTCATTTGGCAAGGGTACTGATTTATGCAAACACCCAAGCCCTGCTGGTCTTTTCACATGAACCCCCTACTGAATACGAGTCCCCACTGAACCACAAAATAGTTTTCTGTAAATAAATATTGGGACATAAATAATATTTGTAGAGCTGGGTAGCAAGCTGTTCAAGGGAGCCGCTCCTACACTCGCGCATGGAGTCCCTCTGCTAATTGTCTTCCTCTCACCGAGGGGGATCTCAAAGCAATTGTGAAATGATTGTCCCCACTGTTACAGATCGAATGCCAGAAAGTTCCCCTCTGTCAATGATCTCTGTGGCCCCTAGAACATGCCCTGCTGTCTGCCGGCTTGGGGTAAATTACCGCCTGACAGGGCCGCACTTTGTTGAATTAGAGTCTGGAGCACGAGGGCCCACTCTGTCAACCCGTCACAGCAGGAGATTCATGTCGCAGACACTGAATACTTTGTCAAAATGCTCAGATTGTACACCCAAATGAGCGCCCTGCTTCCACTGGGATGTCCTGCACTGAGAAGGGGGGATCAAAGCGAAGGCAAAGGATCGCTGACACATTTCGCTTTGCCCTGACATCTTCTTTGACTCAACCATTTTTAACCTTAAAAACAATGATGTGAAAATTGAGATGAACCCCTTGGATGGGAGTAGGACGAAAGAGAGAGGGGGGAAAACAAGGGAAATCGGAAGGAATTTCCATCAACATAACAAGGGCTAAATATAAACCACTTGTTATAACAGGAACTTGAAATGTATAGCTTGTAGTATTTTGTCCTTACCCCCATGCTTGGTTTCAAAATAATGCCGCCATAATTATCTACAGATGGATATGGATGCAGCTGGTCAAAGTCTGAGGCCCTTTGTCTCAAAAGTGGGAGATCATCCAGTTGGTGAAACGTTTTTTTTCTCACTAATAAGTTAGTTGCCCTCAGATTTGATCTGGCCGTTACGAGATACTCGCAGTGAGACCTTAACAATTAGCTTCCGCCTCAGACTCCTTATTGTTTGTCCTCTGAAATGTTCAGATCTGAAATATGATAAATTGACTTGTTAAGGGTTCACTCGCAATTTGTGATTTCATAAAACATTATATAGAACTATGATTTCCATACTTGTCTGACAGAAGAGGTTGTATGCAGGGTAACAGTTTTTAATTGCATGGATGTTTTCCTTTTTTTCAGTGCTATTCCTGTGTCTGTATCCTGTGTATGAAGGGCTTTTTTGATCCCTTCTTTTATCATAAAATATTCTATAACATCTAAGCTTTGTCATCCTGTCAATCAAAATCTCATGTTTCTGATAGACAGCTGGCATGTTCTATACAAAAGTGGCTTTAAAGAACAGTTTGACATTTGACGGCAGAGAAAACATGAGCATGTTTCCTTAAATGTGACCTTTAAGTAAAGCTCCAAAAACAACTGTTCAGTGGCTCAATAACTATTTATTTGAGCTTGAGTTGTATTCATAGAACTTTAAGTAGTGTGACACAGTGTCCCTTTTTGCTTATGTACCCACAGTTGTGCCTAATAGCACAAAGGTTGTTGACGAGGAGAAGAAGTTTCGAGACTGTGCAGACCTCCACAAGGCTGGCTTCCATAGGAATGGAGTCTACACCATCCAGATCAACCCTCAGGAGACCAAAAAGGTGAGAAGCCTCAATATCAGCCAACGATGCACTCTAAAGTGAAATCATCTGCCTTTTCATCACTTGTGGGTTCATTGTTCATCAGTGTTTTATAAGGATTAGGAATACCCATAGCTGAAAATACACTTGGCAGCTTTGTGATTGCACACGTTTAGCAGGTGGTTGTGAAACAGGACACTGAGCTGATCAGGATGGTTACACGTGTGTGTAGAAGTGTGTTCTTAACCTCCAAGCAATGCTTACATATTCTTGGGAGTGATGATTCATTCAGTGAAGAGGTCGGCAGAAGGTTTGTATGTTTGGGTTTCTGTCTCAAAGTCAAACTAAGTGCTGCTGGGCTAATCGGAGACATTTTATTCTACTTTTTGTGTAAGGGAAATTATAATGTTGTGTATTGTGAAAACAAGCTTCATGCCTCTGCGTGGACGTTTCCGGCAGCAGTTTACTAGCTTACCTTTCACTATTATATCTCATTGGAGTTAGTTAGTCTAGCTTGATCACGTTAGCACTGACTCGCACTAGATGTTACTTTTCGTTCATGTTTCTTCAACACCTGCCGAGTCATTGGCAGCGCCAGGGTACTCAGCATTGTTTTTGTCCCACATTATATTTAAGTAAGTAATGACTAAGTTGTTCTTGTATACCATGAATGGATGAGCTAGTCTTGGGGGAGGAAATTCTGTCAAGGGTACTTCCTTAATTATACCCAGGCTGTGTTAATGTGTGTTCAGCTGTGTGGGCTGGCAGAGGCGAGAGACCTTCTCCACTCCACCCGGGGTCTCCTCAAAACAAAGAGCAACACAGCAGATAGAGCGCCAGCGATGCATTATCGGCTTACACACACTGAGGTCCAAGGTTAAGGGCCACATTACACCCAGGAACCCCTCTTTGATCCTGCAGAAACATGGCCGCCTGATGAGGAACATCTCTGGGGAGTTGGTGAGGGATAAGCAGACGCTGATTAAGTTTGAAGAGGACACAGATACGACACATTCCCAAAGATGATTCATCGTCAAAGCTGGGAAGAGGCGTGTCTGAAACCAAATCTTTGTCCAAATGAGCCTTCATTGTTTGTTAATGCCGTTGAGAGTCACATTTAAATCTCAAGCCAACAGCTTGTTAGTTAAATCTCTTCTGAATCCAGAAACAAATATACAAAGACCTATGTATGCTTTTGTTCCAATACCCTAATACACTTTTCCCACCCTCCTTTGCTCTCTCTTTTCCACTGTGTAGGTGTATTGCAACATGGAGACAGCTGGTGGTGGATGGACGGTCATCCAGCGTAGAGAAGACGGCAGTGTGGACTTTCAGAGAACGTGGAAGGAGTACAAGATGGTAAGATGAGACTAAGGTGTGCACTCATCCGTATCCATTAAAGCAAGAGGATAATGGTGGTCCTTAAGACAAGGCAACATGCAGACAACATAAGGAGAATGCACAAATCCATATCAATGAATACAAAAACTGTGCAATGAGCTAAACATCCTGTTTCTAAAATATGCTTCTGCAGGGGATGATGACAAATAACGTGTGCTTTTTGGACCCAATTGAACATGCTGAAAACGAAGAGGCAGGATGTCATTCCTCCTCGGCAGTAGCTCGCCGTCGTTTTTTTGTACTGGCAGTATTGCCAGGGGTATCTGCGATTTGCTCCGCTTCTCAGCCGAGGCTTCAGTGACATGCTGTTATTCTTCCTCTTTTCAACAGGAAATGATTACCTAAATCTGCAAACAACCCATTTGTTTAGTCTCCATAGCGCTGTGCCAGCTGTTTCATCTGTTTGTCATCAAGGAGAGATCTATGCATATTTGCATTAACGGTGTTAACATTTCCGAACCTAAGCTTTGTTTAGACGGTAAATTGGATTTATTATTGCTGGCAGTTGCATTGCTTGTGTTTGCTGAGTAAGGCACCTGTGTGTACCTTTCAAAAGCTGTCAGTTTATTGTCAAAAGGAGTATGTTTATTCTATCCTCTGTAATCTGCTTTATGTTACTGGTTTAAAATATTTCCCCTGTCTCCGCTTTTATTGATGAACAATTTAACAGTCAATGGGAAAGGATTTCAAAGAGCCTGTGGGACATTATAAACCACATAACTCTTAAGTTGGATCAAATAAAAGCACTTACACGGAACTAAGCAATGGTGGAAGGATTGTGCGTAAAAAAGGAACACACTGAAGGATGATAATAAGTCAAAGGGACAAAGCAGAAAAAAAATAAGGAAATGTGAGACCTAAAAAGTAAGCACCATAGAGAAAGACGTGGAAGCCTTCCAGCTCCGAACAGGTGTCGTAGAGAGCATGGAGTGCATTTCAGTACATGAGGGCAAACTCATGGACCTTGGCCGACATTTACAGTGCTGATCTAACAGCTTAGCATTACTGTTCCTCTCCTTGAAACGCCTGGAGGTGATCGGTGGTGTTTTATTGTGTTATTAATTTTCTCATTGTTGGTCTCCAGAGGCCTGTGCTTGCAGATTTAAAGTACTTGGAGGATTTGTAAATCTTTCAGTAACAACTGACATGTTTCTTTGTGGGGCCCTGGAGAGAATTTTGGCAACAGGGATGTCGTGCAAATGTTAAAATGAGATTTTAACACCACCAAATGTTTTTCCATTTCATTACCAGGGGACACAGGTCACAGGAGACCTTGCAAATTACATTCTCAACTCACTCTTTCATCTTATCAGCATGTGAAAATGGTGTTTGTACAGCAGTTTGTCCTAACCACTGCTCTACAAGCACCCCGGGGAGTAGGTGGGAAGCTCAGTAAGCTGTCCATCAACCTGGATCAGTTGTAACACATTAACATTACACTTGGCAAGTTATCACGTGTGCCGATGATACTTGTATGAAGTAAAAAATGTACATTGAAAAGTTTGCTTAATTACATTACGGTGGAACCACGATCTGGTTTGTTTCTTAAACATTTTTTTTGGACGGGTCAAACTTTTGAACTATGCATTTAAATAAAGGGCAGTGCCGAGGAGATTCAGACTTTCATGTCTAAAAAAAAAAAAAAGGCCGCAAATGTATAAACTGATAAAAGAAAGTAATAGGAATAAACAATTTAAATGTTTAACTCAAAGTAACGCATTCTGTCACTTCAGGTAGTATCATGCAAACTTGACCAAAACCACCTAAACATTGACAATTCAATGGTCTTAAAAAAAGATTGTATTGGTAAATATAATTCCATATGTTAAAATGTATGTACATTCAATTATAATCCATTGACAATACCAGAGGTCATCTGATAGGGCCGCTTTGAAGGTATGTTGGACAGAAAAGGTCTATTGTTGGAGAGGATTGGACTCTCTGTTATGTTACTTTAGCTTTGTGTATGCAACAGTTGCTCAATGATTACAATTACCTTTCCGGACAGAGTGTAACTGAAAAGCAACCCAAAGTGATCAGTCCAACAATGTGACTAACCTTATCCTCATCTTTTCTGAGCTGAGTGATATAGATCAGGTTTGCGTGTCATGGATAGTGAAGAACCGGAACAATATAAAGAAGAACTGTCAACAGGTTCTTCTCCTGCCAGAGTTATTGAAAATAACCATGGTCCCATTATGAGCTGAAAGACAGTCAGAGGGGAACATCCCATCAGGAGTGAGATCAATTCTAGATAGAAAGAGAAAAAAGGAGAGAAGCCGGTAATGGACCCCAGTCACTTTCTCTTCCACCCACTCGCAGGACATGCCTCAGGCTTGAGGAATGCCCCATATTTACTTTCCCTCCTTCCAATTCCTCATCACCACACATGCTCAGAACAAACAGACTTCTCCCTGACTTTGCCTCCCTAGCCCATGTCACCCCCCCTTCCCTAATCTTTAATAGAGCGGTCCAGACTGTCCTGTCAGAGCTGTAATGTCATCCTGCTTTGTGATATTCCCCTCCGCAATCCACTGCTCTCGCTGCTGTCAAGCACTTTGCCTGTGAGCGGGAGCAACTCTGATCGAATACAAATTTGTAAAGTTGTTTGAAGGAGTGTAGTAGTATTTAAATAGTAATGAGTTTAGCATGTGTGACTTGAGTGGAATACAGAAATGGAAAAAGGTGTGTGTCTACTTCAGCTGGTACCAATTTCGGCACTTTTATAGGTACGTTAGACTATCCATATCGAGGACAAAGCCAAAAGCAAGCTTTAAAAAAGTTGCATAAAATACTGTATGTTAATATACAATATGACAAATGTGTGGCTTTGTCACTGACATCTGGATAAACAAAAAAGAATGCTTGGATAAAAAAATAATATTTATGAAGTACAGAAAGAGTTCTGCTGGTGGATAAACACCCACATTATTAGCATTTTGTATTTTTTCTGATTGGCAAAAATAGATCGATGAATAAATGAGGAAATTCCTTCCCATCCATTCCACAGTGGAGATTTGATCATTCTAGGAAAAGAGGGGACATGGCAAAGAATAATCTCAAATCTATGATTTACAAAAAGGGTTTTCACTGCTATTTCCACACTGATTGTTATCATGTTTCTCTTTGTACATTGCAGGGCTTTGGGAGCTTGTCTGCAGAGCACTGGTTGGGGAACGAGTATGTTTACCAGTTGACCCGCCAGAGGCAGTATGCCCTCCGCGTCGAACTGACAGATTGGGAGACGGACGGAAACCAGGCCTTCTCACTATACGACCGTTTCCAAATCGGCAGTGAGAAACAAAACTACAGGTAATGCTGCTGATGTTGCTCCTGATAGACATAGATTTGACCAGGAACACACAGACTGCCAGATCTTTTGGCCTTTTGTACAGCTTTTCACGTTGGCTGATAAATATACTTGTGTTTGAACTCCTATTTGGACCACATTTTACAGTGATACAGATGTCAAGCTGAAATCTGTTAAGTCATCTGCAGAAAGAAAATGTGTGACGCTAATTGCATGGTTCTATTGATGGCAATGTTGTCCACTACTTTGATTCAGACTGAATCTTCCATGACATCTAGCACAAACCTCCCTGTCAACCACTGTATAATTTATACAAACACCTTGGGGATCTCTTAATCTTTAATCCAGAACCATCTTTAGCCTTGATTACTGCATATCGGAAGATTGTGTAGCAGTGTCTTCAGCATATGTAACTAATAGGATGAAGGAAGGAGGAAAGGAGTTGTATAATTGAGCTCTCCAGACACTTCGATCATGTTGATCTTGTTATGCAAGTCAATGGCGAGGTTTTCTTCTCATCGCAAATTCCTTCCAAACCAAATCTATAGCTTGTCATCTTCTCCACATTACAAAGTTTCCTTTGATGGACGCTTTGTCCCAGTGTGTTGCAGGGGCGAAGGTTTCTGTTTTCATTTGAGGGGGTTAATGATAACAGGCCTCAAACTATGGCAGATGCTTGGCCCTCTCAGATGTGGAAAACTGTTGCAAATTCCCAGTTCCAAGCAATTGCTGGCTTCACAGGAGAAGGTTCTGACATCTCCAATTGTGCAGCTTTCACTTGAAGGCTGCTCCTCTCTGATAAGAGGTCCCTTAAGTTGCGAAATGTCTTGCGTCCAGCTTTGAATGAGGAAAGAGATGCAGCTCAAAAGCATTTACCTCAACCCTCCAATGCCTTGCACCCAAGTGTTTCCCTTCAGCTGGGNGGGGGGGGACGTCAGGCTTGTTACCATAGCTAATTTTCTGAATTGTCTTGCGATGACAGGAGTTTCAATTTACAAGGTTTCTGTTTGGATGAGCTCGTACGTGGAGTGGGCTTTGTGGTTTCCTCTGAGGACTAAAGAAAATGGATTTCAATCAAGCGGAAGAGATCAAGATGTTTTTTTCTTTGGACTTTAACAGAGTTGAGGTTTTGTTTGACCACAATGTTAGGACTCCATCTCTTGTTGCTGTACCTTTTTTTCAGTCAAAGTTTCAGGCTCTGGTTTAGAAGTATTTAAGAAGAAGTTTAAAGTATATCTTTTGTATATCCCTTTCACACACTCCTGCACATTAATATCTGCTTTAAAAGTCATCCTTTCCTGTCTTCTCACATATATTTAATAACCCATATTTGATATTCTGTTCTTGCATTAGAGAAAACAACAATTCTTATTTTGCAGATGCAGCAGGCAAAGAGCAACCCTGGCCCTTTTTATTCAGGCTTATACTGTTTGGAAATCCAATCCGCACACAGATTTCTATAAATAGATTTTCTCTTGAAAAATAGTTGTGGCATGATCATCACACGATGCTCCTCTAAAACACAGCCAAAACAAACCAGAGCAGCCATGTTTTCTGCTTGGCACCTCCCTGCTTTTAAATGTTAAAACAAACAAATCTGCGACAAGTTTCCTGGAATATCAGAGATAGTTAGATGGATAGTAAGTGATATGGGTTTTAGATTATATTCTTTCATCCATGGTCGTTTACTGGAATAGATTGTACCATACATGCGTCAGTGCAAATTTGACTTTTTTTTATAAAGACCTCATTTGGTATTTTAAATGTCCGTGTTGTGCTCTCTGTGACACACACACACGGGGCTGTAAAAACAAAAGCACATAGACAAGGCCATGCAACATGCAAGCACCAGTAGGTAGAATAATTGAATAGCCTTAGTCCAACAATGCACATTTATCATTTATTGAGAATTACTAGGAAAGGGTTGTCTTGCTGCCAGCGTCTTTGTTTCATCTAAACACTGTGAAACGGAAATGACTCAACTTGCAAAGAGGGAGGGAGGTGTGCAATTATTCCTTTGTGAAATATAAGGCCCTAATCCTTTATAAATGAAGTCATGTTCGTGGAATAAATGTCATATTTATCACTAACACGCTAAAAGTCTGGACCTGCCATTTATCATATTACAGTCATCTAATTCATGTTGGCATGTCCAGCATAATAAAACTATATCAGTACATTCAAGATGAGAAGTTTGAAATAACTTGAATCATATTTGTAAGTACATTAAAACTCGTAGATTCCATGCACTTGTTTTGAGAACTTATACTCTTAGAAGTACACCATTAGAACAGAAACAGATCAAGAAGCCTACATCACTGCAATAGCAGCCAAATAAAAGAAGAAATCTACATCTGCACAGTGTTAGCTGACATCAGCCATGTTGTTTCAAAGTTGAATGAACAAATCCTGTGGACAACACTTTGAGGGGTACATTTGGGTGGACCAAGCTTCAAAGTTCCCACTGAACCACAACCTCATAATATTGTGAAAGGGGCTTTCTGCATTGTGACTTGGGCCACGATAATTGCAGAGGTTACTGTCTTTGTAAACAACTGAAAAATGTCCCTATCATCAAACCTAATTAGGTTGCTGTGATACAGCATGGGTTGCAGAAAAGAAAACAATACAATCAAATATAATATCATTTGATGACCTGCAAATATTGTTGTAATGATAGTCATCAGATCAACACATTCAGTTAATCGCTCTCATTTATCAAAGGTTATTTTCTGCGAAAAAGGGCTTTGTGCTAAATATCAATATAAAAAGAAAGAGTTGAAAAAGAGAGAAAATACAGATGCAATGGAGGAAAGTAAAATAGTGCTTATGGCACAAAATAAAGAAGAGTGCGCAATGTTACACAAGACTAAGTGCTTTAACAAGACGAGACGGAGCAGTGACCAATCAAACGGTGTACATTGTTATTACTTCTTTATGGCTAATTATAAAGAAACCAGATCGAGTGCGCTAGAATTACACAACCGAAAAAAAACTGCCCCTTTCTTACAGAGCCCCTCCTCCAACACACACAAACGCCCACATGACCAATGAGGGCACGAGATGAGTTTGTGCACAGAGGGAAGGCTGACAGGCAGGTAGGCCATCCAGTTATTTTAGCCGGGCCGGCCCAGATGATTGGTCGTGCTTTTTACAGCGCCACGGCTTCCACAGATGACATTTTTTTATATATTTATTGTCAAAGCATTTAATGTATTCATTGCTATCGGGATGTTAAGAGCATTCCATGGAATATAACAAAAAGTGTTTCTGAAATAAATTACCTTTAAATTGCATTTTCTTTTGAAGACCAGGTTCAGGCTGTTTATAGTTATGTAACTAAAATGTATAACATTAACCTGTGAGCCTAAAGTTGGAAGAACGTTTAGCAATGAAATACAGGTTCTCCACAACCCTGAAAAACATTGTTTTGGGGCAAATTAAAAAAATAATAACTTTTTGAAAATACATGTATTCCCTTTCCTGCTGAGAGTTAGATGAGAAGATGTCTGTACATTAATCTGTATGAAACATTAAATAAATGGAGTTCACATGTTCCAGTTTCTCTGTTTCTCTTATTTTTAAATTAAGAATAGCGGTAAGTAAAGTTCTTAGTATGACAAATAAATTGTACAACAAATAACAAAATGTAGGGAGAAGAAAGAGGAAGGACAAAAACAGAAAACCTTTAATAAAAATGTGATTCAATTGAAATGTCTACATCATTTTGCCAATTCATATTTTCTGAAAAGGCTAGTATTCAAGTTGGTTTCAATATTAGTGTTAGTGTAGTCTTCTAGGCGTTGCTAAGTCATTCATTAAGTTAATCATCTAAATGTAGTCTTCAGAGAAATTGTGATTATTCAAAATCAGTACTGTCGAGTACTCGCGTTCATATTGTTAACTCAAATATATTTGGTATTGCATTTTTCGTCTAACTCTTGGCAAGAAAGTCTAAATTGAAGCTCTTATGAGGCAAAGTCAAACTAAATGTTGGGGAAATAACATGTTTTAAGTAACAAAAGCAATATGTAAGACCTTTAATCTCTGCACATGTTAATGACAAATGTCTAGCATGTCTAACCCAATAGTTAAATGTAATGACTATGACTGAATCCAAAGGTTACCATTAACCGTTAAATACATAGCTGTCCTCATTCAATCCTTCTGTATAGCTCACTGTATGTGTGCCTAGTTGCTGCTGAAGGAACGGGGGGAGCCTGGCCAGAATATGACCAGCTGATCAAACATTTACCCACCTCACCGGCTAACCCTTTGTCAAGAACCTGAACAAACCTGGAGACATTTTAAAAACCATTCCTCCTCCTCAACAGGATGCAGCAGCTGGCCTGATTGGTTCTTCAAGTGTCGCTGCTTTGTCGCTGTCATCCATCCTGATCCTAAATCCTGAATGCCATTCCTCATCAGCATCCACTCTCCAAATCTTTAACCCCAGCAGACATGTTGACAAAATCTGTTTGGAGAGGATGACAGAGGGTTGAAACTTTGTTAATATCCTCAAGCTGAAGAAGAGTAGAAGTACAAAGTAGAAATAAGTTAAATCCTCAAGTAAAGAACAAGTAACTCAAAATTGTACTTAAGCACAACTTGAGTAAATGTACGTAGTTACTTTACCCCACTGCAAATCACTAATAGAATAACAAATAAAGCATGACACATCTGGTTATAAAAAAGTAAACTTAAATAGAATAATTACATATTTTCGACTAAAATAGTTTGATGCTTTCCCTGTTTGGGCATAAACAGAGCAAACTGAGGAATATGAGGCTTTGAAGACATGAATTGCCAGTGCATCCCTAATATGAAGAACATGATGTATATTCTGAACACTGGTTCCCATCGAAATGCAGTCTAAGTGTACCCCTACATAAAGAGAGAACATAATGTAGAACATCTTTCTCACATTCAGTTTCCATGCTGGGTGTTACGCCAATTGACGAGTGCCTCTATTGGTGGTGTAGCTGCAATGCTGTATGAATCCACTAGGTGGCATTGTTTCATTATAATTCACATTGCCTCTGCCATTCATTCCACATGTCCAGTCAATAATAGCCTACAATTAGATTTAGATCGTGTTGGTGTATATCAAATATATTCAAATGTATTGTGAATGAGAACCACTTTTTACTTGTATTTATTGTTTCAAATTTGATTACACTGCATTAGCTAAAAAGGCCACCTAAGATGGTCTTGATAAAAGATAGTTTCAGATGGACATTTAAAATGTAATCACAGTTGTTCTAAATGAAATGCTGAGCACATTTGCCCTCTTATTCAAGGAAAATAGTAATACACGGTGTATGGCTGACATTTCTTCTGACAGCTTGCAAACAAATGCTGCTTCATAGTGGTCTCCAATCTCTTCTGATATTTTCATTATTTAATCAATTTATTGGATTATAAATCCACAGATGTCTATATTACAGCCTCCAGGAAACAGTATTGAGCCACTTGACTCTCTAAAAGTTGTACATATCTTGGTTTGAATCCACTGAAGTGCAAATGTAGGCCTAACTATAAGATTAAAGTCAATTGTGCAAAACGGACATTTCCAAATAACCAATCAACATGTGCCTTTTCACGGTTGAAAATAAACAACAATCACCCACTGTGAAAAGGCATGGTAAATACAGGCTTATCAGTTAAAGTGCTCTGTTCTCCTTGCAGGTGCAAAAGTGCGTTCCAAGCGGGACTTGTGGCGCGCCTGTGGGGAGGGGGGGGGGCTGACGTGCGCAACGGAGCTCATATTTCAGCCTACTTCCGGGAAAAAACAACGATTAAAACCAGCGAAACTGACTGTTCTTACAGCAGAGAACAACTCATTCCACATATATTTGAATGCCCTTTTGTATGCGCGCGCGCGCGCGCGTGTGTGTGTGTGTGTGTGTGTGTGTGTGTGTGTGTGTGTGTGTGTGTGTGTGTGTGTGTGTGTGTGAGAGTAAGAGTGAGAGTAATGAATAGATTGACAGAGAGAGAGAGAGAGCTGCTGAAGCAAATCTCCAGCCAATCAGAAACCCCCTCAGGCGTTTAAAGGGATGGTGGGCAGTCTCTCGAGCTTTATGAGACTTATCTTACAACCTCCTCCATACATTCTCACGTCTTGACCTCCCACAGACACTCATACTGAGCCGGGCGTTTGGATGAGAAACAGTGGGCATGGATCTGTCCTGAGAGGAGCTTTTCTTGCTTTTCCTCCATATGAGCTGCTGCTGCTGCTGCTGGATGATATTAGCCCTCCCCCTCTGCACTTGTTGCGCAGACACTGGATGCGTTGAGTCTTCGGAGAGGAGAGGAGAGGAAGCACTGCAACAGGTGCACAAGAGAGTCTCCTCCTGAAAGGCTGCATGACAGGAGGTAAGGACATTACGCAGCATTTGGCAATTTCTTGGGATTAATGTCTTGCTCTCTTGGAATATTTTGACCTATTTTATTTATGGTGATTTGAGTGCAAGGTCTATTTAGATTCGTTCCAATACTTTTTTTTTTTTTCATTCACTTCAAGAGAACTTTAAATGCCAATTTGAAGATCTTCTGGTCACCGTGCGTAAAACAGACAGGATGCCGGTTCTGACAAGCCCCGATATCAACAAGTTCCAGGAGAAATGGCTGGCGTTGTTCCCGGAAGACCAGGCCACCGGGTCGGACTCAGTCCCCATGGATGACAGCCTCACCAGCCTCCACTGGCTGCAGAATTTCTCCATCATCAACGCGGACCCGGAGCGACCCAACGGATCCGGAACGGGCTGCCCGTCCTCGGACCTTTTCCTCAAGCGGCTCCCCAGAGGAGGCACCGACTCTCCGTCCAGCCCCCCCGCCGGGGACACTGCCTCCACCGGGATGCCTCTGTACCTCGGTAGCCCCGTGACCTCCGGCAGCGACTCGGGACCGCGCTTCATAGACTGCGTACATCCAGGACACGGTTACGCGCAGATCCCCATCCAGGCCAGCCCGCCTGCAGAGGTCGACTACAAAACCAACCCTAAAGTAAAACCTCCTTACTCCTACGCGTCCCTCATCTGCATGGCGATGCAGGCCAGCAAACAGCCCAAAGTGACTCTGTCCACCATCTACAACTGGATCACGGAGAATTTCTGCTACTACAGACACGCAGAGCCCAGCTGGCAGGTAACCAAGACTCTTGTATTATTGATGAGTCAGACAAATGGCGAGGTGAGGGAGAGGAGGGTGGGCATAGATCCCCACCATCACACACCATGCTGCAGGCAGTAGTGTAACATAACTAAAGTACTGTACTAGTGCAATTTTGAAGTATTGTACTCAAGTATTTAAATTTTTTGCTTAAACTCCACCAAATAGTGTACTTCACTCCACTACATTTATTCTACATCTTTAGTTACTTTACAGATGTGGATGAATGATGTGAAATATAATCAAGTGTTAAATCAGACTTTTGTTCCACCTGGAGTAAATTAACAAGCTACCCTGCAGTATACAAAGTCATTCAAACTAGCTGCACCTTTACCAGCTTTGAGAATACTTTCAGGATCAATCATTATAAAACATGTCAGATATATTATTCTGAACACAATGACTACTTTACATGTTGGTACTTTAAGTATATTTTGATGCCAATACCTTTCTACTTTTAATTGAGTAACATTTTGAATACAGGACCTTTATTTGTAACAGAGTATTCCTACACTCTGGTACTTCTATTTTTACTACAAGATCTGTACCTCTCCTACATCTGTCTGCAGGACATCAGACAATGCCTTTCTTTTGTGGGGAAACAAAAACCAGCAGATGCAGTGTGCGTTTTAAATCCTCCAGCATGTCCCCCTCTTTTTTTCTACTTCACAAGATAAGAGTCTAATTTGGGCCCTTTGATAATTTCAATGACAAGTAATCCTTAATGCAAGAGAAATTTCCATCTTCCAAGAGAGGAGAGCGCTCATAGGGTTTTTGTCTGAGGGGAACGGTGATGGGGTGGAGAAAGCACTCTGTGTGTGTGTGTGTGTGTGTGTGTGTGTGTGTGTGTGTGTGTGTGTGTGTGTGTGTGTGTGTGTTAATGAGGGCTCCTGAGAGAGATGGCAGCTAAGCACAGCTGATCATGTTTGAAATGCACAGAGCTGCCTGTTTCTAGAAAGCCTCATTAGGTACATTTGCTTTCCCATACAAACAACAATACAACCCCCCCAACACACACACACACACACCCACTTACGAATGTATTATTTTTAAAGGATGAATTTAAACGGCCGATAATTCAAAGCTTTTTATATTGTCCGTCCTAGTTTTGCACATTGAACACAAATCTACCTCTTTTAATACCTGCATGGCAATAATATTAGGTTCAACCTAAAACGTTTTTATTTAAACTTATATTATTGCTTTCAACCAACCTAATACAGTTTTGTGAAATCTGTTGACATAATGCATTCAATTACAGTCAATGTTTCAGTTTATTCACTGCCATCCTGAAAACAAATCAATATTCTGCATTCCCTCATTTTGTTTCCTTTGTCCCAGAACTCCATCCGGCACAACCTGTCCCTCAACAAGTGTTTCAAGAAGGTCCCGAGGCAGAAAGACGAGCCGGGGAAAGGGGGCTTCTGGCAGATCGACCCGCAGTACGAAGACATGTTCGTCAACGGCATCTTCAAACGCAGGAGGATGTCTGCTAACAGCTACAACAATAATAGTGGCTCCCACAGACAGAGCAAACTGAGTTATCACAGCGTCCAAAACGTCTGCCCTTACCAAGGCGGGAAACGGAAGAACTTACCGGCGAAGAGCGACAAGCTGATCAGGGCAACGGAGTCTCCTCTTTTGGCGACGGACGCTCACAAAGCGGACATCCTGAGGGGCGACTTCGACCTGGCGTCCGTGTTCGACGACGTCCTCGGCGGGAACTGTAGCACCTTCGAGGATTTGGACATCAACACGGCACTGAGCGCCTTGGGTTGTGAGATAGAGGTTTCCCTGCAGGGGAGGCAGCATCCGGGGAGGTGGTGCAACGGAGGGGACATCTTAGGGAACCAGTACCTGAACCACCACCAACCCTACGGGTACTTGGATGTGAGCGGGGCGTCCCTGGACTGCAGTATCGGGGAGATCCACGTGCCGCAGCAGCTTCATCCAGACCAGGATCAGCTGATGCATCATCATCAACACCTGCAGCAGTTCGATGAGACGTCGACGCTGTTCCCAGAGGAGGTGGTGCCCTGGGAGAACATTAAGGAAGAGGAGCAGGCGATTCCTCTGACTCTGGATCAGGGCTTCGGGCTGTGCGAGGGTTTTTTCTCAGAGATGCAGCCATGGGAGCGAGTGGAGGCCTATCTGTGACCTTTGACCCCTAAAACCTCATTAACTCCTAATGATCTACATCCAATGACCTGAACATGTCTGACTACTGGTCGAACGGTGAAGAGGATAAGAACTACGGCTCAATCATTCTGCAATACATCTGTCATTTTGTTTTCTAATAATGACCTACAAGCCTGATATTGTCAAACCTATCTTTAACATGAAACTAGTTAACCAGTTAATCTAGTTGAGATTCCCTTGACACAAGATCAGACTCGAGCTGCAGTGATTAGACAATGCATAGAAAGATATTTCCGAACTTCTTTTGACAATTGATTCATTGTTAAAGTCATTTTTAATGCAAAAATTGCATAAAATGCTGTTTCCGTCTCTCAAATATGGAGATGTTTTGCTTTGTTTTATAATACCTTCAAGTCAATCTCTTTTAACATTAACTTTTAACATTAACATTTAATCAGCAGATATTAATAATGAAAAGGATCTGTAGTTGCCGCCCTAGATCTGATTAAGGATTATTTCCCAGCACAGACTCTCATCTCTCCCTAAGGGTGTCGGGTGATTGACAGCCGTGCGTAACATGACACCACACTGATATATCAGGCACAATGAACAGAGAAACTTTTATAAACCAAATGAAAGTTTCATGTGGACTGCGAAGGATGGTCGATCCCACTCGTTTGGATGAATGGCAGCAAACGCTTTTTTTCAGAATTACGAAAAAAATCACGACACTGCGTCAACTTGGATTTTCTGGAACTATAACGGCCTAAATGTCGGACAGCTGGTGATAAAAGCATGCGTGGAAATGAGTGCTGAGCTGCAGCAATTTTGTTGTTGTTGTTGAGATGGTGACGGAAGCAAAGTGAAGAAAACCCGACCCTCCTTTAAAGCATTCTTCACGAAAAAGCACGGGACTGAGAAAACGTGCTGGACTCTACTTTTGCTACATTAGCATTTAACATTTTTTTTACTAACATGCAGCGAAATCAGCCATTCGTCATTCATTAGATCAGGATGGAGACTTTAAACTCATGGTCTGAGATTAGTCATTTATGACCTTGTTGTATAGTCGATTTAATATATATTCACTAAAGTTTATCGCATGAAGCTAGGCAGGAATATTTGCCATTTGACCGGAAAATGAAACGCCTTCTTGTCATGAAAATCGAACATTATGCACTTTGATAGGCAGCAGTTTTAGGAAAGCAAGACCGATTTTATTTCCAGGTTGTTTAGTTTAATTTTGTATTAAAATGTTTCCTACAAGTTTACTGACCATAATGAAAGTGATGCATTTGCTGTAATTATCCATATCAGTTTGTCTGTTAACAATGAACTCAACGCTGCAATAAGTCAATGGGCATTTTTAATTTGTCGCTTATATTTACTGTTTTTCTTTCCAAATATATACAAAACTAGGCATTTGTTGATCATATTTCGCCAAATGTGTTGATGAGGAATATGCAGTTTATGGTGATCTGTGTTGTTTAATAAGAAAAACATCTGTTTTCTGTCACTGGGTGATGGATCGGTCCTTATTGATTTCTTCGGTGTATGTCCTTTTTAAAAAAAATCTCTATGGTTTGTTTTCTCAAATCTGAAATTGAATGTGTTTGAGAATATAATAACTCGATGATGAGCAGAAGGCCAGATTTTCTTATTTGTATCATATTGATCGAGGTTGATATGAGCTCTTTAATCCTACCATGTTATTTTAATTTGTACTTTTTTAAGCTGTTTAAAAATGCAATCATGCCTTGATGCAATAAATGGTGTCAATTAAAGAAAGAACAATAACAAAAACGTGCATCGTTCACTTGTCATTGAGAAATATCAAAGAGTGTGTGAGTGCAGTCCTTAAAGGGGCCCTATTCTGCTTTTTGGGGTTTTCCCTTTCCTGTGTTATATAGGTTTTAAATGCATTTTTTGCATGTAAATGTTCTACAAGGGCAAAAATCCCTCCAGAGGAAGTTTCTCTCCCACACACTCCCCCCCTCTGCCTGAAACTTCTCCATTAGACTCCTTTGTTTACTTCCGAAACATAGTGACATCACGATGTACTGCTCGTGCTTCTATTGGTTAGCGCTCCAACACATTGTACCTAAGGGGCGGGACATCTCTAAGCGGTTGACCAATCACAACAGAGCTAACCAAAAACCAATCAGAGCAGACTGGGCTCTGGTTTCAGACAGAGGGTGAAAAGAGGTGCTGCAGCACAGGCAGTATGAGAGCTTTTTGAACGTTAAAGCCTGGAGACATGTCCCAGTAGAGACACTACATACTGATATAGACCTGAACATCAGCAGGAGAGGACTCTTTAAAGTAGAGACACTACATACTGATATACACCTGAACATCAGCAGGAGAGGACTCTTTAAAGTAGAGACACTACATACTGATATACACCTGAACATCAGCAGGAGAGGACTCTTTAAAGTAGAGACACTACATACTGATATGCACCTGAACATCAGCAGGAGAGGACTCTTTAAAGTAGAGACACTACATACTGATATACACCTGAACATCAGCAGGAGAGGACTCTTTAAAGTAGAGACACTACATACTGATATACACCTGAACATCAGCAGGAGAGGACTCTTTAAAGTAGAGACACTACATACTGAAATAAACCTGATTTGTTTGTTGTTTTTGACTTTTTCCACTACTTTACTGACTTTTCTCTGAGTAATATTGTTAGAACCCCTTCAGGTGATATTCTCTGTCTGAAGGAGTTTATTCCAACGGTTACTGTAGCCATGTTTGTTGTATTTAGTCATTTCTCCTGTGTGACTGAGTGCAGTGAAGGTCAGGTCTCTGCATCTCTTCACTGATATGGAACCACTTCAGTGTTTAATCAGGTGTTGATAGTACAGAGTAAACAGCGTATTTGTGCACGTTGTACTTCTCTGTCTCTGAGGTATGTAAGCTGCAACTTGTTTCCCTTCTTCCACCATTTGCCCTCTCCACGGTTTATGACTGCAGGTGGTGACGCAGCCGGCTGAACAAACGTGATTTCCCACCCTCTTTTTAGCTTAAAGCGGTTATAATGGTGTTCAAGTGACATCAGCTTTTTGCAGCTGGGTGAAAGAGAATTAAATGTGGAACGAAGGAGGGGTAGGGGGGGGGGTAATGTTTGGAGGAATTTGCCCTCTCACAACCTCCCTCTGTAACCTCATCATAAAGCGCATTAGGCATGGATAATGTCACATCAGCAAGTTCCAGCACTCTGCATCACCCCTAATTTCTCAACCCCACATAAAACAGCGGTTACAGTCTGCCAATTGTGGTGAGGTGGGACATTTTATATTTTTCCTCTTGATTGCTTGAATGAGACTCCTCAGTTGCAGTTGAAGCTGTTTACACATTCCTCACATGCAGCCGGATCGCTTACAGTAGTTTAATTAATGCTTAATTGTGATTTGGTGGAAGGGTGGAGCTCGTTAGTGGCTGCTGTGTGGCAGCCGGTGGGGTTAAATGTGCTAGACGTGGTGAATGCTTTTCATCCTCCGCTCACACATTGCTCAAGCGTCTGTTGTGAAACAGGAATGCTATCCACATAATGCTGACAAACAAGCCTGTTAATATGAGTTTAAATCAGTATCTACATTTTTTCCCCCTTAAACCAGTAACCGGAAAATGTGCTTCTTCCTGTCCTCTTGTCTTGAAGTCAATGATTTTCTGAATGTGTTTTGGGTTGTTAGCCTTAAATAAGGTCTGTGGTTAACACAAGCTAGCCCAACATTAGCCGCCTTTAGCTTAGCGGTAGTGACATGAAGTCATGTGACCGTGCTGTAGTTCCTTTATAGCCCAACATTAGCCGCCTTTAGCTTAGCGGTGGTGACAGTAAGTCATGTGACCATTCTGTAGTTCCTTTATAGCCCAACATTAGCTGCCTTTAGCTTAGCGGTGGTAACGTGAAGTCATGTGACCGTGCTGTAGTTCCTTTATAGCCCAGCGATAGCTTTATACTTCAGAAGTATCATAACCGTGTGTTTGCCACAGAGATTATTTCCTGCTTTAATCCAAAATTGGGGAAATGCTGCCTTCAGGTTCCAACAAAGAAATACAAAATCCCTGCATTACTCTATTGGTCATTGCTTTACAGGTGCATATTGCTGTGTGCTGATTTTAATCCCTTAATTAAATGTACACATTATTTTCTCTCCTCTCACTTTATCCACAGAGTGTGTGTCATTCAGCTGTGCATCACTCGTCCTCCATACAAATATTAGCATAGCCATCCTCAGATTGAACTGCCCCTCCCTCCACAAAGGCTTTAGTAACGCAGCTCTCAGCAGACTGCAGACAGAGCTTCATTAAATGCTTCACCTTTTGAGACACGGCTCGCAGATAAGGCTGAGGGCGGAGAAATGCCAGCTGATCCTCGCCAGATAAAGACTCATTAAATGCTAATTCCTCCTCACTTACAGCACATTCAGATCTCTATCATTCTGTTGCTGTGTCTGCACTTCTGTGTGACCGCCAGCTCGCTGATTAAAGAGCGATCGGCTTCTTATGTTATTTCCTGTATTTGTTCCCCTTTGAAAAGCTGCCATAAACAACTGGACTCAGATCAGATCAAACTAAAGATGCGTGTTCATGTTCCTCCATCGCTCGATTTCAGATTATTTCTCAAAGGATTTACATTATTCGATCTCTACTGAAGAGTAATAGAGCCAGGTATAATGGTAAAAGTCAGGGGGAATTAACACTTTCAGTTTTTAAGATAATTGCAAAATGTAATGTGTATTCTTGACAATTATCAATTTTTATCAACATTTATATTTAATTCTCCGAACAAATTTTTTTTCCACATTTCTTTATTATTTTTGAGTTATTTTAATTTTATTAATACGTTTATTTATTTAATTTTAACGTATTTTTTTAATTTTATATTTATTTTGATTTTTTACTTTGCCAGGCATTAATACTTAAATCTTAACCTTATTATACACTTTTTTTAATCATTCTTAAACCCCCCGCCCTCCCAAAAAAAATTCCACCTTTGCAAAAGAAAAACACATAATCATTCAGTTAAGAGTGTGCTGTATTGGTTCAGAACGGATTAACAGAGCGTGTCAGCTCGTGTTAAATATTGACCGACTGCTTTCATATGTGTGTGAGAGGTTTGAGTCAGAGAGGGACGTCCTCCTTATTGAATCACAGCGAGCATCCCTGCAGGAAACCCTCTGTGATTCCCATTACTGTACAGGTGGAGATCTGCTCCTCTGAAGGGAAACTCCTGCAGCTGTGTTTGTAGTCAGAAAATAGTTCTTGTTCTCCATGTCAGACGTTTGTTTCTCCTACTCTCGTCCAACACAAACCAGGACTTTCTGCTCCACATTTTTAGATCTCTGCTGAGGTATTAAGACCGCAGTACCGCTGAAATATTAAACCTCTCTGGTCTCTTTGTTCTACCGTGTGTGTTTTCCAAACCCACGGATGATGAAATGATTTGAAAGCTGACCACCAACGCTCTCTGGCGCACTTCTCTTAAAGGTTCTTTTTCCATAACGTTCTTCATCTTCGTCCTCTGAGGTAATGAATGGGTTAATTGGGATTATTATCCTGGATTACAAGACTGGGGAAGGTCCCCTTAGGGTGCAGGATGCTACATTTAAACGTTCATGCACTACTGGAAGATGCAGGGCAGGATAGGGTGTGCTCTTCCTGTTTCTGAGCCCCAGAGACAGCGTCTGGTCTCAGGGTCCCTGAACTCTCTAACCCACAACCGTGTCTCATGCTGGTCGGGTCAAGTGGGTTCAGACTGAGTGAGGTAATGGCTACTTAATGGTCTCCTATTATACTGTTTGTCATCAATATATCACAGGTCTCAGATATATACAGAGCTTGTCTCTGATTGGCTGAAACACCAAATGGACCATTGCAGCATTACCCATAATCCTCTCTGTTTCAGCCCTGTTTCCAAAGTGCTGATTCTCTGTCTGTTAATTTTAAATTTAAAGTCACATTTTTGAGAAAATGCTGCATCTCTTGCATTCATTGACGTAGAGGAGCCTTATCGTTTACCTTTTTAATATAATTTTTTGTAAGTTTCAATTGCTTGGTCTTCGTGAAATTAGCCTGTTTTCCTCTTAAAGTGTAACAAATTGATGCGTCTCCACAGATCATAATAATAATAATAATAATAACTTTTATTTATATAGCGCTTTTCAATAACCCAAAGTCGCTTACAAAAACAATTAAAAGTACAGAAAGGGGGTGAACAGGCAGAAGACAACATATTGGACAAGAAAATTGAACATGAACATTACATGAACAGGCAAAGGACAACACAGGGGGGGAGCAAGCATAGGACAACGAGCAAAAGACAACATAATGGAAAAGAGGAAAGAAAAAGTTGATGAATGTATGAATAAGAGATGCAGCGTGGGGTGAAATAAGAGATACAGCGTGGGNGGAATCCCCCCATTGTAGTTAAAAAACTGTAAAGACTAAGGCCCCCAAACAGCATCTTGCATAGGGCCCCCAAAAAGCTAGAAACGGCCCTGCTTACACGTGTGCATACAATGTATAGATCCGATATGATCAAAACTACTTTTCAAGATCTAAAAATGATTTTACGTTCATTCCCACATCTGTGTAGTAATCCTGACCACCTGAACTGACACCAACATGCAAACTAAAATGGGAACTATTAAAGAAGATGGTTAAGTGATCCCCCTGTCTTGTAAACGGATATAATTTATACATAAAAAATTGTGAAAATTGCAGTTAATGTATTCTCTGTAATGTGTTCACTTAGCAAAGTCCGTATGT